CGGAAAAATGCCGCCGCTTCATTTTGCAGATGCGGAAAGGGTGTGCTGTAGAGCTGGCGGCAGGTTTTGTCATCCACACTGCGAGACCATAGAAGCTTTTGCCGTCCTGGGAGCAAAGCGCAGCAGCTTTGTGTTAGAGGGGCTTTTGTTACAAAAGATGCTTCCGGAGGGACCGGCTTGGGTTCGGCTGGAGACCTTTCACCAGCTGCGTAAAGACTCCGGGATTATCTAATCCTCAGCCCAGAGGACAAGAGGGGCCAAAATGAGTGAAGATTGAATACGTAATTAGAGCAGATTGTTGGCAATACCCTCTGGACTCCAACTGATTATAAACAGAAACAGATTTTTCTAGTTCCCCCCCAGAAAAAAAAAAAGGTTTTGCAGGGCAAAGGGGCACTTTGTAGCAGCAACTGTTGCACATGAAGTGGGTGATCACAGCTGGGGCAGTGCAGACCTGCACGCAGAGGACGGCTGGGGCGCGGGGAGGCAGAGGAGTGGCTTCCCTCGGGTTATTTTGCAGCGTTAGGGCAGAGTTTGGGGTGGAAGTGACGGAAATGGCGTATGTGGGAGGTTAGTTGCTGTCACCCCGCCGGCCGTCCTGCAGCTCCATCCCCTGTGCTGGGGCTCCTTCTGTCCCGGCGGCTGTGGGAGCTGGAGGGGCAGGGATGCGGCGGTGACCTGGACTAACTGAGGATCCTAATGAAGGCTGGAAATCATAATGAAGCCCTCTCAGGAAGTACCTGGTTAGGAACAATTGCTAATTTGGATTCATGGATTTGAAATATGATGATGATGATGATGATGATGATTATGATTATTTTTAACATTGTTATTGCCTGGACCTGGTTATCAGCTGCCTGAGGTCTGTTAGAGGCTAATACTTTTTATTTCCCTTTCCTCATATGTACTAGAAGTTGGTAGAAGTTAAGTGAAAGGAATTTGCAAGAGTCACAGGTCCATTGTCAATACAACATAAAGGACGTATGGCTAAATCCATCAAGCCTAAAAAGCCAGCTGGGCACAAATAAGCCCAGAGAAGGAAACAGTGGAAGGAACTATGAAAATGAATGGCACACCCAAAGACTAAACTTCTGAAGCAGTTAAGGCTAGGAAAAGAGCTCTCAAATCTCTGATGACAAGAGGGTTTCTCTTCCCTTCTCTTTAATTTGGTCAAAGAGGATGAATGAGAGTATTGCCGTTCCCACTGGGGTGAAATGCCATCATTTAAAAAATTACCCTTACTCAAGTTCAGGTGAAATCCCAGAATTTGAAACTTTCCTGTGCAAATGAGTATGTCTGAAATGATTGTTTTGGTGCACTTTGGCTGAACGTATCCAACAGGATTCAGCTGCTGCCTTGCGAACCACGCAGGAACTTGCATCTCATAAATTACAACATCGCAGAATGAGACTTTAAAAGGGAGCGTCAAAACCCTTTGTGCTGTTAAGGACCTTGCTGAAACGCTCTTTTGTTTCAAATTTCTTTTCTATACTGAAGGCAAGAGTAGTTACTTAGTTCCCATGGATTTTTTTTAGTTTTGCTAGGATGTCCAAGAGAATATTCTGCCCCAAAAGCTCTGCCCACCAGCTGCAGATTGCTGGCCTGGAAGCACACAGGTGCCTGGTGGTGCTGTGACACCATGGGGCATCTTTCAGGCTTCGGGAGTCTTTGGAAACACCTTCCTAAACGCACCAGGGCAGGCAGTCTTTGACCTGATGGGGCTTTGTGCCGGCTGAGGAATCTTGTGTAAAACGACCAACTGTGAAATAATATGCTGTGATTTTATTAACTCGAAATCCCTTCACTTGCTCTGCAGAAATGAGCTTGGGAAAACAAGATGGTGCAGCCAGGCTGCTCCCAAACTGCCCTGAAGCCTGAGCATCCCTTGTGCCAGAGGGATTTTTATCTTTCTGTGCTTGGAAAGCAGCACGGGATGGGCAGAGGTGGCCTCTGGGCACGTCCCTTTCATGGTGGCTCCTTTTCCTGCTCTGCCCACGGGTGTGCAGCTCCAGAGGACAGCAGCGTATCTGTACTCTTAAGAAGAACAGGAGGAAAGCTGTGGAGAAGAGGAATCCTGGTATCTGTGGGAATCTCCTGGGGAAGTCAGAGTTTACCAGGCGGGTTCTGCTTGCACCTTGTCATTTGTGCACGTGGCTATCAGCTGCCGTGCAGCCATTTCTGACCCTCTTTGATGGCCTGGGCTGACTCACTTGTCACGCTTACATCGTTATGCTTTTGTTTTGCAGTATTTGGTTATTTCTGATTAAGAAATACTGCCTGTTTGCCTTGGCAGTGTTGTTCGTTGGACTGGTGCGGCATTTTTTAGCTGAAGTGTTTATTCAGCCTCTTGTATTCTTTCTCAGGGGTGGGGTGGGATGATCCAAACCCGTCAGTATGCTGGTGATCCATGAGGGCTTGTGAAAAGCTTGAGCCAGGGTCTCTACTGATGGAAACCACCAGCTTCCTCCACTTCCAAAGGCCAGGCTCTAGGGATGAGATGAACAGGCTTAACTGACTCCCATCCAGTTGAGAAACCTGGACCCCAGAAGGAGATGGCAGCAGCATGAGGAGTGAGGGATGCATTGCCTTGAGTCAAGCAGGGGTGCACCTTCTTGGTCCAGATGCTCGGCAGGTACAAACACCCCAGGCAGATATAGCTCATGGCATCTTAAAACACCTTTTGCTTTTTGTTCTCAGCCCTGAGAATTGCTGGTTTCTTGCCTTTACACATTGTTTGGACTTTTTTATTCCTCCCTGTCCCAGAGAAACAAGGGCAATGGTGACTTACTGCTCAGCAGGTCGTTTGCAGCCAGTGTTGGGTTGCCACAAGGTTTTCCCCTGTTAATGTCATGCCCCTCTGCCAGGACTATCAAAAATTTTATACTGGACATTTTCTTGGGTTGGAGCTCCCAGGTGCTTCATCTCAAAGTCCTGATGGAGCCCTGGAACAGGTTGCCCAGAGAGGCTGTGGATTCTCCTCCTCTGGAGATATTCAAGACCCACCTGGACAAGGTCCTGTGCAGCCTGCTGTAGGTGACCCTGCTTCGGCAGGGGGGTTGGACTAGGTGACCCCCAGAGGTCCCTTCCAACCCCGACCATTCTGTGATTCTGTGATTCTGTCCCCGTGTTGCAACACCAGCATGGCCGGGGTGTGTGATCCATTCACATTCCTCACCCTTCAGCGCTTTCATGAGCTGCACAGGGGGTGGGATGGATGTGTTGAAAGTGCCGTAAGGAGCATATTTGCACACACTTACGTAAGACTGCAGAAATGCAGGGCTCCTCAGATCCTCCAGCCA